AAATTACCAAATAATTCTGGTGGCCAACTATGAGAGAATGCTGGATTTGATACTCTTCGATGTCTTAAGTGTTCCTATATATATATATATAAGAGAGAGAAGATATAAGATAAGCTTGGATAAGCGTTAATAAGTGTTAATAAGTGTAAAATAAGAATAAATAGGCATAAGGAAACTATTACTACCTCCTTAATATCAAATACAAGATTACCAGATCCAAAGAATTTAAGTTCTGCTTTTGAAATTAGTTTCTAGTTTTTAAATATATAAAATTACTGCTTATAATTATTTAATGTAACTTAAAATACAAATATACTTACACTTCGCTCCAATTTTTGAAACGCGTCTTTGTAAATATAAGGAACATTTATGTATATATATATATATATATGAATAGGAATATTAGAATTATAATCGAAAACAAATTAAAGTCTGAATTGATATTTCATTATTACTTGCTTTACCTGCTCTTTGAAGAACGTCTTTCATTAACTCAGGTTTTGAAACAGCGATTACCCATTTTCCAATTAATATATCAAAATACTTTATTTATTAAAAAATAAGAAATATCTTAATAAATAATGATAAATATTATTATACCAAAGCGATTATTTAATTTAAAAATAATTACTTTAAGTATCCCCTGTTTATTAAGTGACTCAATTAAGTAATGTCTAACAACGTTGAGTGCCGGTTCTCTTGCTAGATAATATTTTAAATTAAATTTGATAGTTTGAATTAAAGGAAGAGAGGGAATTTGACGAAGCTCAGGTGAAATAATGAAAAATTTCTTAATAATGTAATATAAAGAGTAGAAGAGAAAAAAATAAACTCCATAGACGATAAACATTTTATTTTATTTATTTTTCTCGCATCAAAAAAAAAAAGCTGTTTTTATATAAAAAATTTAAACGAGATTATCTTTGTGATCTATGATTCAGCTGATTGTCATGGGAAAAGAATTTAATAATAATCGAATCGTATCGAGAACAAACCGTACCCGATACCATTCAGAAGAACAACACCCGGACATTTTATATAATTTTTGAATATTTTCTTACTGCTTATAAATAAAAATAGTTTTTTTAAAACGATTATTTGATTATTAATTATCACAAAATGCAATCACAATTGGTTTTTTTCATATAAACTTTAATTATTTGATTTTTCATGTTTACAACGTTCTGAAAAATAAAAATAAAATAAAATAAAATAAAAAGCCATAAGATTTTTTTTCGATTTACCTAATTTTTAAACGAAGTACGAAGATAACTAAAAACAACCTTAAACTTTAATTATTTGATAATTTTTATTGGTATATTCTTTTTTCATGTTTACAAACTAAATATAATTACTCTTCGATTTTCATTCTTTTTCATTTTCATGTGTATTCCAACATTCTGAAAAAAAAAAATAAAATAAAGATAAAATAAAATAAAAAATAAATAAAATAAAATAAAATAAAAATAAAATAAAGATAAAAAAAATAAAATAAAATAAAATAACAAAAATAAATAAATAAATTAAATAATTTGTTGACGATCCCCTTTTAAAGGAATATCATTCAAATTAGGTTTTTATTACGTAATTTAAGTTATTCCTCTAAGATAGTTTTTCAAGATGGGTAAATAATATTTTTATACTTGTTGTTCTCTGTTCTAATAAATAAATTATATTCAAAGTCAACGCCTCATGAACCGTACTCTACACGAAATAATAATGTATTGAAGTGCCCCATACGCGAAACCGAGACACTATTTTTAAGAGTTGAAAGAGACGTAGAAACTTGTTTATATTACAACGTTTTGGCACCTGTCAACTCACTATTTTTCACAAAGAACAGGATTTGATGCGACACTCACTGAATTTTTGGGTAGATCCGATTACGTTTTATGCACTAATGATTCCACAATTCCCAAGATGCCCGTGACCGTAATCTTTGGGAAATTTATCGACGTGTTCAATGGATCAAAATAACTGATCCGAACTTTCAATTTAAGAAAAGGATCCTATCGCAGGTATTTTGGGAAATGGCCTGTAATGGCCTTCATTACGGAATTTTGTCAAATTACAGCGATACATACTTTCTCAAGCGAGAAGAAACAAGTCCAACAACTTTGTATTCTACCCGTGTCATTCAACCTAATGATACAATCCGACTTTACGCGAATGCGTTTACTATATCAGCCAACTTGCTATTAATGATATTGCCGGTGAAAAGTTGCCTCGTGTAGAGCTTGACAATTTTTCACCTAATAATGATGATGACCCTGATGACTCTGATTACTATGATCCTGATGACCATGATTACTCTGATGGTGGCTCTGACGATAATTATGATGATGATTACCCTTCGAGTGAGATGAAACAAATTTCAAAAAAGTCCGGCAGTAGAAAAAAGTAGTTGCTAGTTATTATATATAAAAAAAGGTCAGGGCCGATTGATTGTTATTTATTAAGTTATATTTCATCATTAGTCGAAATGGTACAATTCGGAAAAAAAATCGACAGACTTTCAGCCACCTTTCGGCTACCTAAACCATCATTCAGAAAAAATTATATAATTATAAACAAAGTGTTTTTTTTTACAAGAAAATTGTAAGGTGATATACACAAGTTCAACAATGCCCTTAATTTCTTAATGACCGAAGAAATTGCCTTTTTCATCAGTTTTAATCTGCAAATGTATAAATCTTATTGTAATTTACTATTCTGGTTTAAACTTGGTTGCTCAAAATCATATTTTGTGTAATGAGATAAAAAATGTCGTTAAATACGATTTTTTGCATACTTGCAATTTTAAATGTAATTTATGTTTCTTTTTTTTTCAAAAAAAAAAAATAAATAAAATAAATTTCTACCTTTCATACCATAAGCAAACAAGAAAAATGTCATATAGTATATGCCCAGAATGCAATCAAAAATGTAATATATATTGGTGCGAACCATGTAACTTGAAACATTTTCAAAGTGATTTTAATAATTGGACAAGTGGAAATGACAAAATAGATAAATTCATTCAAGATGCTCAATTAAATGCTAATGGTTGGTTAGAAGTAATAGAATGGATACCTTATAATAGATTTAAAGATGTTAAGCGAATAGGTAGAGGTGGATTTGGAACAATACATTATGCCAGGTGGATTGACGGACAAATTGCTAGATGGGATATTGAAAATCAACAATGGAAAAGGTATCGTAAAGATGAAGAAGTAGAAGTGGTATTAAAAAAGTTTGATAATTTTGTGAATTTGAATGATGTCTTAAATGAGGTAAATATTTAATTAATATTTTAAATTTAATTTTCAATTTATTATATATAACGTTTTAACTATAAATTAAAAATATTTATATTATTAGATGGCAATTCACTTAAAAACATTCTCTGAACTTGCCTCAATTCGGTTTTATGGGGTTACACAAGATCCAGAAACACACAAATATATGATGGTTTTAGAATATGCATCTGATGGAAATCTTCGAGAATATTTAAAAATTAATTTTGATAATATTAATTGGCAAAGAAAATTATCTAGTCTATGGGAATTATCTAAAAGATTGATGGATATTCATGAATTAGATATAGTTCACCAAGACTTCCATCCTGGAAATATTTTATCATCCAATTTTAAAGAATCTATACGAATTTCAGATTTTGGATTAAGTAAACTAATAGGGGTAAATCAAAATAGTTCCGAAAAAAAGAATATATTTGGTGTATTGCCATATATTGCCCCAGAAGTATTAAGTGGTGATGAAGAATATACAAAAGCTGCTGATGTCTATTCATTTGGAATTATTGCTTACGAAATAGTTACGGGCATTCCTCCATATCCTGATATACCACATGATAAAGATTTGGCTATGAAAATATGCAATGGATTACGACCAAAAATTCCATTCCATACTCCAAAATTAATTACGAGAATGATTATAAGATGTTGGGATGCTCGAATTACACATCGACCCACTTTTAAAGATTTGGAAAAAGAGTTGTGGAAATGCTTTGGTGATTATAATGATTATTTAAAAGGGAAAAATAAGGATTCAGAAATCGGAATTCAGATTAAAAAAGCCGAAGAATTTTCAGCAAAAAAAGAATCAACCAATACAACAACTACAACTCCTCTTAATTATCAAACACATTCACAAGCAATTTATACCAGTCGACTTTTTAATTATTTAAATCTTCCAAAACCTAAGAATGAAGAAAATTTTGAAAGGGAGTTTGAAGAATTAACTAAATCTATGTCTGATTTTTGTCCTAGTAAGTATTTTATCATATTTTATTTATTTATAGTATTATATTATTTTATCATAAATTATATTAATTTATTTATATGTTGATTAGGTAATTCTGATCTGATTGATTTTTTTGATGATTTATTTTGATGAGATGATTTGTTTGGGTGATTTTTTTGATGATTTTTTTTTGATGATTTTTTTTGATGATTTTTTTTTTTTGATTGAAGGGTCTTTCCTTCTGTTTCTGATGCTACGTTTCTGATGCTACGGATGATGGCAATAAATTTTTTTCGATTAATTATCATTGTCATCGTTGTTATTATTATTGTGGTTTCTGTTTAGTAATAGCTCTTTAGTATATTTTCTTTTAATAAATCATTTTAACTGTAAAAAATAAAAAATAAAAAAAAATTAAATAACTACGTTATACTCGTTAGATAAAATTTTACTAAATATTGTAAATTACATAATTATTAAATTAAATATGATATAATTATTATTTTATTTTGCTGGGTATTTTTAAGATTACGTATCTGTTATCATTAAATCAATTATTTCTGCTAATATTCTCAAAACAATAATTTAAATTTAAGGAATGTTGAAACGAAAATTTTTTTTTTGATTAAATGAATTTGAGTTTGAGGAATTAACCAAATTACAAATTCTTATTATTAGAATTAAAGTTTCTTGGTTTAAATACATTTTCTTTTTGATTATCGATAGACAATTTTAAAAAAAGGGTATTGCTAAATCTCACCAGTGGTGATTGTCGCCACTGGGCAGAATTACATAATTCCCTGATTAAACCCTAACCCTAACTTTGCCCGCGTAAATTTAATTCTGCCCAGTGGTTACAATCACCACTGGTGATCTTTAGCAATTTTCTTAAAAAAAAAAATTAAAAATGGCATTAAAATTTTTTGACAAAACTTTATTGAACTTCTTAATGATAAAGGTGATTATAATGCAATCAATTATGAATAAGGAAAATCTTTTACGGCACATTTTAATATATTTTTTATTTATGTAGATATATTATGTTAATTTGGAGAACGTAGAAATCAGACTAATGAATATGAATTGACCACCAAATTAGAAATTCATCTAAAGCTTCTTGGTTAAATACATATTTTTCTCTTATTTATCGGACTATTTTTAACGAAAAGAATTTTAAAAATTTAGAAAATTATTGGATTTATATTATTGTAATTATAGGTGCAGTCTCAATGACGTGAAGTATTATAGAGTTAAGTCAATTCATAGCTATGAGATATACATTTGACAAGTAGTAACTCATAACATATTTATAAAATTTATTCTTTATAAACTTAAAAATTAAATATCAAAATTCATTTAATTATTTATTATGATAATTATCTTGATTATTAATAATTAATTTTAGTAATTTTTAGTTTGTTTTATTGAAAGGAAAATAGTTGTAGTATTTTTATATTAACCTAGGCAATATTAATTTAATCTAAAATAAATGGTTGATTTGATTATATTTAATAATTTACAATTTGTTCTCTCATTAAAGTAAATCAAATAATAGTTGTTTCATATCAATCAGATTGATATTTGATAAGATATAAAAGTTTGAAATTTTTAAATTTTTAAGACTTTATTAATTTATGTCAGAAGATTATCACATTGGGAACGCGACAATCGTAATTTAATTAAAAGTAGTTGACAGACAATTTAGTTAATTGTGTGGGAAAAAAGAAACTATTGTTATTGTAATCAATAATTATTGATTAAATACATTAAAATCTTAATATCTTCGTTCAAAATTGACTTCCAAATTTTTAGGAACTGCTAAAACAAATAAAGTTGATTTAACTTGTATTTCATCTTTATGAATATTCGGTTCGGTAATCTTCCAAGAATATTTTCGAACTAAAACAAAGAAAACGAATTAAAATATTATTAAGCAAACACATATGACTAAAAATCTTACCGAGCATAGTCAAGAAAACTCTTTGTTCAGCAAATGAAAAATTCATCCCAATACAAATTCGATTTCCACCACCAAATGGAAAATACTTATTAGCTGTATCTTTTTCATTGGCAAATCTTTCTGGTTTAAATTTATATGGTTCTTCCCATAATTCTTCTGAATGAAGTGAAGCATAAATCTGTGGTCCTAATATTGTGTCTTCAAATGTGTAAAGAATAAAGAATAAAAAGATTAAGAATAAAAGATAAAGAATAAAAATAAAGAACAAAAATAATATAAACATAATATATAAAATAGATTTATTTACCTTCCTTTATTGCATATTCGCCTAATCTCGTATCTTTTTGAGCTCTTCGAAAATTGGTTACTGGAGCTGATGGATGAATTCTCAAAGTTTCTTTAATTACCATATTAATATATTTCAATTCTTTAATTTGTTTAGAATTTGGTATAATATTTTTCTTTTCATCTCCCATAATCCTAATAACTTCTTCTCGAGCTTTTTCTTGACATTCTTGATTCATTCCTAAAAAATAAATTGCTGCTGCTAAGGCTATTGCTGTTGTATCGTGTCCTCCTACCAAAAATATTTTCATATCATTTAATAATTCTTCGGTAGTTAATCGTGATTTCAAATCATCTTGAGTTTCTTCAGCTTTTAACATAT